CTTGACTTTTCCTAGGGCCATTAGGGCTGAATTCACTCCATAGGAACCTGGTAGCATCCCCACAAAGTTGGGCTTGGTGAAAGTGGGCTGGAATTTCCCGAATTGGGCTTGGAAGTGGGCTTGGTCGCTGTAGTCGCTGGCTCTGGGCGCGGCCCTACTGGGCAGCAAGGCTTTTTCTTGTGATCAAAGGACTTAGAAAAATATACCAATGATATACTAAGGCTTAGACAAGTCTTGGGTAAGGCCATGGCATCGGCTCGAACTTTGGGTGCACGACCAAGGTCACGCGCACGGCTATGGTGCGGCTCGGGGTCTAAGGCTTTAACTAGGTACATTTAAAACACTTAGAAATATTCTAGGTATTTTACTACTATGACTTGGCAATGACTTGCAAAAAATACTCGGAAAGGACTTAGAAATTTATTCGGATCGAGACTAGGGTTCGAGGCTAAAATTCTCGAGTCGACTAGCTTTCTCTTATGAATCAAAACTAATGGATTGACCTTGATCTTAACTTGACATAGAGAATTCTAACAAATAGTCTAACATAATTGAGCATTTAGCATATAAATTAAATAAATCTTGGATTTCTGCAAATTACGAATTTCACTTAAAAGTCGAGCAGTGAAATTGTCTTAATATTATAATAATGATCGGGGCGTTACAACAAATGTTGAGGGAACAGGTCTGGTCGGGCAGGTGCATGAGTGGGAAACAATTTCTCTACCCAAGGCAATAAAATATTCATGCACAAGCTCCCACTTAGTGCTAAGGACAAATTGACTTTGACCTTGACTTTCCTAGGGCCAAATGGGCTTAAATAAAACCTTATTCCCTTATTAATAAACGCCTGAAATGGGGCTTGGGAGAAAGTCCGAATTTCTTCACATGGGCTTGGAAGGTGGGTTGTGCAAACTGGTTGCGCGGCCCTGGACGCGGCACTGGGATTGGGCACGGGACTAGCACGACCTGACAGCACGCGGCCCTAGACTGGCTGCGGGGTCTGCTCGGGTTGCACGCAGAAATGGACTAGGGGCGAAACTCTAAGGCTTGCTAAGGCTTAAATGATGTTTCCAACACTTAGAAAAATATTCCCATGCTTGGCTATGATTTGGGCATGGACTTGGACACGGCTCGAGTAGGGCTAGGGCACGACTCGCGGACCTTCGGCGCGAGCGGCTTGAACCGAGGCCATGGTGCATACTAGGGCTAGTCTTGGCACCTCAAAGCACTTGGAATTATTCTAAGTGTTATGCTACTAAGGCTCGGGTAGGAATTGCTCAAGACTCGGGCACTAGGGCGCGAGCTACTCGAACCGAAACTAATGAATTTCTAGGGCCGAATCGTGATCACTTATAACCCAAATTAATGGATTGGTCTTGGCCTTAACATGATGAATGAAATTCTAAGGAATACTCCAACATACATAGAAAACTCAGGAATTTTGAAAATACTGATTTCACTTTATAATCGAGCAAGTGAAATCCTTCTAATATTATAACTGATCGGGGCGTTACATTTTGATTCAGAATTTTGAGATTGAATAATTTGGGATTTTATGCATTCATGATTTGAGTACTCTACATGTCTCAAGATGTTATTGGGAGTTGATTCCCTTTTTACCCTTAGCTAACTTTGGGTTGAGATAAAGAGAAAGAAAGGAGTTAGCAGTTTTAGTTTGCAGATAAAGAGTTAGAATTTTCAGAAAGAAAGAACATTTTTTAGTAACTGCCCAAGGAAAAGAATTTCAGAATTTCAAAAGTTTAAAATTTACTTTGAAAATATTAGTATTTTCTGCAAATTAGAAGTGGGCGTTACATTATTATAAAAGAAATTAAATAATAAAAAAAGTATTTTTTTGTATTTTATAAAATAATTGTATACAATGTTTTAGTTTAAATTTATTTACATAATTTAAATTAATTACATTAATAAATAATATTAACGTACATTAAATATTTTCATTACATAAAATAAAAATAAGAAGAAGACTACATCTATTACTTTTAAATAATATTAATGACATTATATTACAACAAATTTTATAGTAAAATAATAGTTGAGTATTATACGAGGAACAAGAATAAGTAAAATTGATATTTTTCTTATATCAAGGAATAAATATATATTAAAATAAAATTTTTATTACTATAAGCGTGTTAGCAGTATAATATATTAATTAATTTACCGGCTAGCGCTAACAAGCTCAGGTTTAACGTCCCGATAAAAAAATAACGCTGGTGAAAATATGTGGAAAATAGATGATCAAACTCTATTACTTTTTAGGTCTTAACGAACAAGCCCTATGGAAATGACTCATTTAATATCTATACCCCGTGCATCGCGCGGGCTATGTACTAATTTTGTTAAAACTTTTATCCAATTGTAACTTATAGGAATATTCAATTTTGTACCTGATATGTCGAGATCCTTTTAATATTTGATTCTTTATCCAATCTATATATATATATATATATATATATATATATATATATGGATTGGTTCTAATGCATCCGCTTATTTAAAGTGAGGACGTGAGACTCATTCCTAGCCACAAGATTTAGATCTTGATTTAAATAATAATTCTTTATTTTTAATTATTTAAATATGATTATGACCATTGACCGTAGACTCTGGCGTTGACCATTGACTCCGGCGTTGACTGTTGACTTCTGGCGAGAATCGTTGACTTCTGGTGTTGACTCCGGCGTTGACCCGTTCTCCTTAGTATGCATCATGTATGAAAGAATAATTAAAGACAACTAACCTTGCAACCAAAGACAACTAACCTTGCAACTAAAGACAACTAACCTTGCAACGACAGACAACTAACCTCGCAAACTGAATACAATTAAACATTGCAAATAAAAACAACTAACCCTGCAACAAGATAGAACTAACTTTGCAACTACATACAACTAACCTTGCAACTAGAGAAAACTAACATTGCAACTAGACGGAACTAACCTTGCAACTAAAGATAACTAACTTTGCAACTAAAGGCAACTAACCTTGCAACCAAAGACAACTAACCTTGCAACTAAAGACAATTAACCTTGCAACCAAAGACAACTAACCTTGCAACTAAAGACAACTAACCTTGCAACTACAGACAACTAACCTTGCAAACTGAATACGACTAAACATAGCAAATAAAAACAACTAACCCTGCAACAAGGTAGACTAACTTTGCAACTACAGACAACTAACCTTGCAACTGTAGAAAACTAGCATTGCAACTAGACATAACTAACCTTGCAACTAAAGACAACTAACCTTGCAACTAAAGAAAACTAACCTTGCAACTACAGACAACTAACCTTGCAAACTGAATACAACTAAACATTGCAAATAAAAACAACTAACCCTGCATCATATTTATAATAACTTTGCAACATATTTACACTAACTTTGCCTCACCATATGTACTTCATACACAATACATATTATGGTCAACGGGTCAGCGTCGGAGTCAACGCCGGAAATCAACGATATTCGCCAAAAGTTAATGCCGGAAGTCAACGGTCAACACCAAAGTCAACGGTCAACGCCTGAGTCAACTAATAATTATTTTTATTATTTCATTAATTTATATTTTAATTGATTAACATAAATCCTTGATCTAGACAAAATGAGTGGCTAAGATTGCGTCTTACGTACTCATTTTAAGGAGTGGTCTCATTAGATCCAACTCTTATATATATATATATATATATATATATATATATATATATAAAAAGATTAACATTTACTATAAATAGTATGTCAAAATTTTCGGTCAACAATAATTGCATTCTATTTATAGAAATTGTTTTTCTTTTTTCAGCATTAATCGACCACCATTAATTGCAGGCTATAATTATGGGTTTTCTCTTCATCCGATATTTTAGAGCTTTAAAATCCTATTTTATATTTGATATCAAAAAAATATGTTGCAATTTTAAAGTGTGAGAGATACGATTGGTTGCAAATTTAATGTATGAGAGATCTGATCGCATACAACTTCTTCCAAAAAATCTACCTGTGTTATTTAACATTAAATCAGTCGGCAATATTTGATTTCAAAAAAGAAAAATTTGGTTGCAATTTTCACGTTTGAGAAATCCAATTGCATACAAACTTCATTCAAAAAATCTGGTTGCGTTATTTACATTTATTTAAATTTGAAAAAAAAAAAATGTATGTCCGCATACGACATTACAATCCTGTCCAATATCTATATCTATATCTATATGTCGGGTCGCTCTCCGGTGAGAATAGTGCTCAATGAAAGAAATAAGAATACATCGTAGCCATTAGATCAGATGATCTAATGGCTAAAAAAAGTCAAAATTATACCATCATTAAGGGTAATATAGTAAATTTTTACACATAACCCAAAAAGGTGGGTTCCAATACAAATTTAATCCATCTGCCAACTACCAATCAATTAAATCATTCAGTCACCCCACCCTGATCTAATGGCTAAAAAAAGTCAAAACTATACCATCATGAAGGGTAATATAGTAAATTTCAACATATAACCAAAAAATGTGGGTTCCAATACAAATTTAATCCATCTGCCAACTACCAATCAATTAAATCATTCAGTCACCCCAACCCCACCTCACCTCATCCCACACGGCACTCTCTCTCACACACTCACACACACAATACACACACCACACACACACAACGCACTTGTCCCACACGTCGGAAAATGTCAGCCACCGCCGGCCGCCAGGGGCCCCGCCGTCCGCCGCCATCGCCCTCCAAACCATCCTCAGTCACCTCCATCCTCAAACGCCGCAGCCGAGCACATCTTCTCTCTCATGAACAGACACACACATAGAGTAACCAGACACACACACAGTAACCAGAAACACACACAAGCCCAGACACGTCGACGCTCGCCGGCTACCATTTGCTGCCGACGCTCGCAACCGCAGATTGCCACCTCCCAGAAAACCATCGTCATCACCGCTCGAAGCCATCTGAACGCCTTCGTGCTATAGTTATCCTCATCCGCCGGTCTCTACCGCACATCCGTTCAGCTCTGTGTTACTCGACCGACGCCACCTCCGCCGCACGACTTGCTTTGCTTGGAAATCTGGGGACGAGCTCGACCGGAATCGTACTTTACTATCATAAATTCAAAAATAAAATTTATAATAAGTAGACTTGCGTGGTGGTGGTGGTGTGGCTGTGCTGGTGGCTGCCGGCCGATGGTGCTCGGAGGTTGAGAATGACGGTCAATCGGGCATCCAAAGTCAGATTTAGAGTTAGGGCTTTATTTTGAAAATATAATAATTATGAAGGGCTTATTTGCAATTTTGTAAATTTTGGTTATTTTCAATTTGACCTTTGGGCCAAATCTATTATTTGTAAAAGCTACATAAAAAAATATTGTTTTTAAACATTTTTTTATACATGTATATATCATATTATATTTACAAAAAATAATATTAAAATATTAAACATACTTTTATAATGATAAGTAATAAATATTTTAATTATTTAAGATAATTAAATTAACCAACCAAACTCTATTATTTTGGTTCGGTGTACAATTTTATCTATTAAAACTAGCTTTTGAAAATACATAATTTATCCGAGTTCGTATAAATTATTGCACTTCATAGAATAATGCATTGCACTTTATAAAATAATGCATTGCACATTTTAAAACAACAAGCTACATTTTATCATCATACTCCACAATTAACATTAAATAGTTCGCACCAAAATACCACACAACAGAAATCTAAAAAATGTATCTACATAATATTTTAACATCTATCGCACCATTTGGCCACATAAAACACAAAGCATGATAACATACCAAAATTACAGTAGTTCACTTTATACATCAACATGTTGCACTTTATACATCAACTCGTTACACTTTATATATCAATGTGTTGCACTTTATAAAAATATCACCCAGCGCTTTATCACGACTATAAGATCGCCCGAATAGCGAATGGAACTAACCGAACTCAATTTTTGTTTTCTTTTCCAACCAAAAATAATATAAAAATAATAAATAAAATTATTAACATGTTAAGTGTAATTTTAATATAATAAGTAAATTGTTTCGATTATTTAGGATAATTCAGTTAATCGAACAGAATAATCAATTGTTCATTTTCAATTTGATATGGGGCAAAAAGGTTCGGTTGATTCAATGATCGACGCAGTACACCATATTGTTGGCCAAGTTGAACCTTAATAACTGATATATTGCACAGTATAGTTGGTTCACATAAATACTACATTTATTTTTATAAAAAATAATAATATCAAATATCAAATAAAAAAATATTAAATACTAATCTTGCTCCTTATAATAAATAATATAATTTATATCGGTTATTTTGGTTAAACGATAAATTAAATCGATTATGTTTAATTTCTTAGTTCGAACTTTTACATCTCGTTTTGATTATTTGTTTTTTACTTTTAAAGCACATTTCTATACAATTATTTAAATTTTTTTAGCTTAAGTCGATCTACAATTATATCTACTAAATCTAGTTTTCGTAAACAAATGTTTTATATGTGATCATATAAAGTAATGCACTTTATATATAATCAAGATGCACTTTGTCAGATAACATGTTGCACTTTATTAAACATAACATCGCATTTTATCACCACACTCTACAATTAACGTCAACAACTCCCGCCAACATACCACACAACATAAATCTAATAAACGGATATACATAATACTTTAACATCAATCACATAATTTATCCGCACGAAACACAAGCAGTACCAAAATTACATTAGTACACTTTATACATCAACATATTGCACTTTATAAAACATCATGTTGCACTTTAGAATACAATATGTTGCACTTTATCACGACTATCATGTTGCACAATAGATATCGAAACAAATCGAACTAAAAAATTTTCAACCCAAAAAAATAATGAAAAAACAATAAATAAAATTATGAACATATTAAACATAATTTTAATATATATAAAAATTTATTTTGATTATTTAGGATAATTCGGTTAATCACACCAAATAAACTAATTAATAATGTTCTTTTTCAATTTGATTTGGGACAAAAAATTCAATCTGCACAATACATACTGACACCGTTTTGGGCGAATTACACCTGTTAGACTAAACTTATTTCGTTTACATATATACAAATTTATTTTAATTAAAAAATAATATAAAATATCAAATAAAAATATATTAAATCCTAATTATGGTTTCTATAATAAATAATATAAGTTATGTCGGTCGTCTTGGTAATTTATATTAACCACAAATTAAGTCGATTATGTTGACATTTTAAAACACTAAATATGTTTTACATAATACAAATTATAATTTATTTTGGTTATTCGAATTAAGTCGATTAGGTCGGTTCAATCTTCTAACAGTTCGACATGGTTATTTCAAGTTTGACATTTTATTTTATTTTATTTCTAAACCAACATATGATCAATATACTTCATTTTGTAGACATTTTGTTACTTAAATTTTTAATGTGCATTTTGTAGACATTTCATTACTTGAATTTTTTATGTGCACATGCAAACACACTAATATGCATTTTATTTATCATTGTTGTGCATTTAGTATTTTTTTAATAATTTACTTAATCTTTTTATTTTTATTTTTTTTTTACACGATAAAAAAGACTTAATAAAACTCAAAGAAACGTTTTACAGACGATCAACCAACTGATTGAACCGAGTACCAACCTTACACCATAAAGATGGATGGTACCCAAGGGATATATCCAGTACTCCCCAAACCGCAAACAACAATAAGCAAAGACAAAATAAAAATTACCTACTAGTATCACAAACAAAATAACAATTGAGCTGGTCAAAGGCTACAGAACAAACTTCAGAGAAGACAAAAGAATAAGATGACATGCCACTATTACAAGATTGAAAGCTTTGAAGTTTGTTCACCAATTCTTCATTCTGTAGATAACAGTTGAAGTTGTTCCATTTGAGGCTAATAGCTAAATCCAGGCTCCATTTACAGATTTAATATGAACAAAATTATACACCTAGATTAACTATTTAAAAATTGCACAAAGACCCCTATACCTTGTCTAATTTACAAAAACCAACCCAAAAAACTCCCCCAATGGCCGCTGCAAATTCCAATTGCCGGAACCACCATCAAGCAACAACAATTTAGGTCGATCGCGCCTTGTATAGTCCTTCGGAAAAAACCAAAAAAGCAAGAGAGACTTTCGCCTACGCAAATTTATNAAAAAAAAAAAAAAAAAAAACCGACATGTAGTCGAACCTGCAATAGAAGGAAGACAACACAACACGACTAAGATTTTCTCGTTCGATAAACATGATTTCATAGTCATACACATGTCATTCATCTGAAGGAAAATCGTGCATATAAGACGATGACATAGTCTAAACTACTCAACAAAACTCAAATATTTTTTCATAATTTAGCAAATGGTATCCTCACCAAGACATAGAAATCTAAAAAAATCCAAAACAAGAAGAAGCTAAAATTACCATTTTCCTATCCTCGGGGAGCTATGCTCCGACACATCATCATCATCATAAGCCGCCCCTACCGCCGCCAGCCTTGTCAGCACAACACCATTGACGACGACGGCAACCAGCAGCTGCCGTTCATGACCCGCCGGCACGACTAAAAAGCCCCAAATCACAACCCCTAAAAAATACCCCCAATCCTCAACTCTGCAAAATCCCCGCCCGCTAGAGCCCCATCAGGACACCCCCACCGCCGCCAGCCCGTCCGAAACCACATCGCCGCCGGTGCGACTAAATTGCCCTAAGTCACAACATCTACAAAATCGCAAATCCTCAGCACTGTCAAATCACCACCGGCCGGAGTCCTTATCAGGCCACCACACCGCCTCCAGCACTACCAGAACCACATCGCCGCCGCCGATGACAACAACAGACACCACCAGCAACATCCATCCTCGCTGCAACAACGACAACACAGTCCGGTTGATCGCTGACACTTTCTCCATCTTCGACGGACGTCGTCAGACGTATTATTACCGACCGATACACCACCGGTCGCTGCTGAGATGGAGATGTCGGCACAAACTTAATCGGTGAGAGAAAGCGAGATCGCAGTCGGTCGAGGAGAGAGAGAAAGGTGAAAGATAATGAGTGGGAGAGAGAGATATGGGGTATGTCAGTATGTGTAGCTGTCAATGATCAATTACTATTATGCCCTTTGACATACCAAATTTACCTTAATGTTGCATGAAAGTACAGCTATGCCACCGCTTAATTTTCAGCGTGGTCAACAGCCCTGGCACAGCTGAACCGTTAATTTGACAGATCTTGTGGTGTATATTTATTCTCATTTCTTTCATTATCTCCCTTTCTCATATGATCCCTTCTCTCTATATGTTTATATATATATATATATATACACGCTCCAGTGAGAATGGTACTCAGTGAAAGAAATAAGAATAAATCCTAGCCATTACATCGGATGATATAATGACTAAAAAAAATGCTTATTTTTCACACTCATTAAGGGTAAATGGGTAATTACACCATACATAAATAATTAATGACATGTGGGACCCACAATAAATCAAATAACACACTAACCAATTCATCCCCTTACGTCACTCTCCCTCTCTCTCACACACTCTAACACACACTCTCTCTCTCTCCTCACACCCTCTCTCTCGGCAGAGAAGAAAAATTATATCGCACTAAAACACCATCTCCGGCCACCGTCGTTCGCCCCAGCCATCGCTACGCCGCCACTGCCGCTCACATCCTGCTTGCCGGAGCATCCCGCCACTACCGGAGTCCTGCTCACAGACAGCCGTCGGAGCATAGTCGCCCCCGCCAGCTGACCTCCGCCCAGAATATCTCTCCGGTGACGATCGGCTGTGCTATGTCGACCGTCGCCTATGCCGTCTCCAGTCGCCGGCGTCAAACCCGTTGACCTCGCCGTCCCCCGTCGCCCTCGTCGTCCCCGTCGCCATCACCGTCCTCCGTCGATCACGCCGTCATCCGTCGTCCGCGACTCACCACCTCCTCAACTCTTGCCGGCATCGTGTCTGTCCGAAGGCCTGGGCGCCGCCGCACTGTGGAGCTTCAATGGCAGCTTTAAAAAAAAAAGGTTGAAACTTGCCGGATGTCGCCGGCCGGAGTATGCATCGACGCCGGAAGTCGCCGGCCCGAGTAGCTACCGGAGCAGACGAGTAGTAGGGTAGAAGATGACATTTTGGGATTGGGGTCTTTGTTTTGAGAATTAGATAAAATCAAAGGACTTGATTGCAATTTAATGAAATTTTTTTATATTTCAATTTGATACATATGGCAAATCTGTAATTTATTGAATGTTTTAATAAATGCATATTAATTGAAAAAAAATGCACAATATATTGTATTCAAATATATTAAATAAAAATGTCATGTGATAGCACAATAGTTTTATATGAAATGCACATTAATGATCGACAGATTGCACCGAACGAAACTTACCAAACTAAAAAATATATAAAAATAAATAAATTAAATTACTAACATACTAAATATAATATTAATATAAATAAATAAAATATTTAAATTATTTAGGATAATTCGATTAATAGAACCGAAAAAACCAATTAATTATGTTCATTTCTAATTTTTTTTAAGGAAAAAAAATCGTTTGGTTCAATACGCACAATACAGATCGACGCCATGCACCATAGTGCTGAACAAATTGCACCGTAATAACTGTTAGATTGCACATAATAGTTCATTTACATATATATTAATGTTTTTAATAAAAAGTAATATAAAATATCAAATAAAAATGTATTAAATATTAATCACATTTTTTTATAATAAATAATATGATTTATGTCGGATATTTTGGTTATTTATGTTAACCGACGAATTAATCCGGTTATGCGAAATTTTCAGTTCAAAAATTTATATTTCATTAGGCACAATGCATATCAACACCGTGCACTATAGTGTTGAACAAATTGTACCTTAGTAGCCGTTAGATTGCACGTAATATTTCATTTACATACATACTATTTTTTTAAGCAAAAAAATAATATAAACTATCAAATAAAAACATATTAAACACTAGTCATGTATTTTATAATAAATATATAATTTATGTCAAATATTTTGGTTATTTATGTTGACAGACAAATTAATTCGATTATGTCTAAATTTTAAGTTCATATTTTTATATTTCATTCTGGTTAATTATTTTTTACTTTTAAAATACATATATATACACGATATTATGCAATTCGTTTATATAAAAAAAAATAAAAAAAAGGGGTATATATCAATGTTTTAATAATTTCATATACACATATAACATTATTTTTTAAAATGCACACATACACACAATATTGTGCATCTAATGTCATTATTGTACATAAATTAATCTTCATGAAATTATAAAATGCCAAAGATAAATAACAATAATGTATTTTATTATATTATTTATTATCGACCAAAAATAATATAAAATATTATATAAAACCACTAAATACGTTTTTCATATTTAATGTAAATAAAGTACTTATTCATTTAAAATAAACGTGGTAACCGATCAAAATAAACTGACTATTTCGGTTCCGCTTGTAGTTTGTATTTCGGACACCACATTAAAAATATACGCGCTATGAGTGCACAATATTATAAGACGAATTGCACGTTAATGATAACGGGTTGCACAATATGTACCGAAACCAAGCAATCTGAAAAAAAAATAAAAATAAAAAAAAATAAAAAAAAAATCAGTTTGAAAATTTACAAACAACACAAAGTGGCGCAGTGGCATCTTGGAAAAATTGGATAAATATATGAACAAATTGAACCAACTAATGAACAACTCTATGTAATTTTGTGACAAGTCCAGAGTTCAATATCGACTGGAACCATGCACCATGGTGTTATACGAATTGCACATTGATAACTGTAATATTGCACATTATATTTTGTTTACATATGTATTATTTTTTTAATAAAACATAATATAATTGTTAATAAAAAATATTAAAATACTAAATATAATTTTTTATAATACAAATAATAACTTATTTTGGTTATACCGGTTAATTGTTATTTCAGTTCAGCTTTAGTTTGTATTGGGGCAAGAACTCGGTAAGTTTGATTGTTCGAATTTCGACACAAATATATCAATTATGACAGTTCAATCGATCAGTTTGACAGGACCAACTGACAAATAACCTAAACGAAGTGGTTTTTTGATAAACTTGTGAACTTTTACATGTATATGCATCGACAAATTTAGTATTTCCTAAAATTATGGTTGTATTTTTAATGTGCAATTTCTCGAACGGTAATGCGCAATTTATGTAACATTGTTGTGCAAGTATTAACCTTTTATTATATTACATTACATATTCACCATGTGCTAAATTAAAATATAATAAAATTTTACAATTTGCAATAAAGTCCCTAAACTATATTAAATTCTCATAAAAAACTCCACATTCTTAAAAGATGAAGCACAGAATCAGGTCTGCCGGAGTTCACCCAGGCCGGTCCCGTCAACGGCTATATGGAAGCTGCCGCCGCCGCCGTACTTGTCGCCAAAGTCAGGCTACAACCCGATGCC